CAGCCTGAAAATCTTTGCAAAATATACCTCTCTCCACTGAGTTTCTGCAAGCAACCCCTGCAAGCTGGCAGGGTTAAACTCATAGATAATCCTGTACTAAACATCAATGTCAAAGGAGTACCACTCCCATTTCAAAATTAAAAGACAAGACTCACTTGGGATATATAAACATTTCTCTTGTTCTGAGCACACAATGTTAAACAGCAAGATGTATCCATTTGCAGTTGCAATTGCAATCATGCTGTGCTTCAATAAAAACACCATGCTGACTAGATTGCAGCCTTGGAATTACTACATTCAAAGACAAATAAAATTTCAGCGAGACACATTCAAATTTTTTTTTTAAAAAATAAATACTCAATAAAATGGAGACTATACAGAGATGGTAAATAAAATTTCCAATTACTGGCCTCTGGCTTTCCTCTATCGATATATTCAAGGTGAGGCTAGTCATTTGACACCCACATAAGTGCCACTACCCACCGGCTTTTCCTCTGAGACCTTAATTAGGCACGTGCAGCTAATTGTCACTAAATCCAGAGACAGAGACTCTGAAGACACTGGGTTCAAATCCCACCATAGCAGCTGGCATAATTTAAATATAATCAATATATTTGTAAACACAAAATATTTAGTAAAAGTCTGTAATTGAAAAGTAGCTTCGTTATTAAATCAGAGAAGTCCAACATTTTTCAAAGTGTGAGTTTATCCTCCATCAATGCAAAAGCAACCTATTCATTATTTCACACAAGATCTACCTGCCAATCCCACACGACAGACTTTAGCAACAACCATTTTCAAAAATTAGAAGCACAGGAACGTTCTTAAGTTTAATTATCAACAGACCTTGCCATTTCCTCAAACATTTAATCAAATTGGTGAGATAGAAACATTTTGTCAACAGATATGCTGTGATTTTTTAATACTCTTTTTACAACTTCTACCCTGGTCATACATTACATCATCATTATTGTTGCCAGCAACTTGCTTATAACCAAAGAACAAATGAACCCACTCTTTCCAGGTTCTGATTTACTGTCTTTTCATTAAAATCCAGGCATCTACACAGATTTCTATAAGCTCAAGGGAACAAGCTCAAATCTCAATGATCTGTGGAATGTCTGAGCTGGCTGTCTGCATAGAGCAGTCTCCATTTCTTCCAGCATCACCTCCATTTCTACTAGCACCATAAATACCTGAGGGCCAATAACTTAACCTGTTCTTACTCCTTGCTAGAATTAGTGCTCTATGTCCAAATCATATGCGCTTACATTTTGTTTTAGCAAAGTCTCGACCTAACAGCGTTGCTAACTCAGTACCATGTTCAGACTGATCCACAATCATCATTTACAACCTCAGTCAGGTCTTGGAGCTGCACTCAAATCTACCTTAATTCAGGCCTGTTGACCTTTTAAAACAAGGGAAATTTGCTAGTGTGTGCTTTTCAATATTATGAATCTATGAAAAGTCTGGTATTTGCAGCATGTGATCTGAGTAATGTGCTGTACTAGTTTAAACATAAAATTGGCTGATGTAATATCCATTGCATTTCATTACTAATAAATATCATAGTGATACCCTTTAACTCATAAATGCAATGCATAAAAATACCTGTCAGAAAATACTTAAACATGCTAAAAACTAAACTCATACCAACTCCTTATCACTCACCATCTACTTACTCAGTGTGACTTAGGTATACAAAAACATGAGAGCTCGAAGCAGGAGCAGTCAATTTAGCTCCTCAAGCCTGCTCCACCTTTCAATATGATCATCGCTGATCTCATCTTAACTCTACTTTCCTGCCTTCTCTCCATCACTCTTCTAACCATTACTATGTAAAACTCTGTCGATTGCATCCTTAAGCTTAGTCAATGTCCTAGCATCAACCACACTCTGGGGTAGTGAATTCTACAGATTCATGACACTTAGGGAATCAATTTCTCCTCTTCTTTGATTTAAATCTGCCATCCTTTATCCTAAAACTATGACCTCTCATTCTAGATTGCCTCACAAGGATACATCCTTTCTACATCTCCTTTGCCAAACACCTTTGCATCTTGTATACCTCAATTACACCTCCTATTGTTCCTCTAAACTCCAGCGAGTATTAGGTCTAAACTGTTCAAGTTCTCTTCATAAGGAAATCCCCTCATCTCTGGAATCACTCTAGTGAAACTTGTAAGTAATATTTCAGGTATGGTCTTGCTAATGCCTTGTACAGTTGCAGTAACACTTCCCTACTTTTATACACTATTCCTGCATCAATAAATGTCAAAATTAGCAAGACTGTACATGAAATATTGCTAATTTTGACATTTATTGATGCAGGAAGAGAGTATAAAAGTAGGGGAGCGGCTGAGGAAAAGTAGTAATAGCAACAAATAACCAGCATATTCTTTTACTGTATGATTCCCCTTGTCCTTCCTGCACAGATCTTAGGTGGAAACTCAGTTGCTTCGAGTCACCAAATCAGCAAACTAGACTGGACAATACAAAATGCAGAACAAAAAAGTTACCAATGAGTTTGGGTATTTTGGTTACTGGTGATTCCCCAAAATTCAGGAAGGAAGTGAATCATGAGAAAAAGGCAGATGATGCAGTAATTCTTGTGCAAACCAGTTGTGAAATTGTTAAAAATGACAAACTATTGTATGCTTTCCACTGACAAAAAGTGCTTAAAAAATTCCCAAAGAAATGAAATTTGAGAAAAAGTAAAAAGAAGCCTTTAAACTCTATGTATGTGAAAAGGTGTACTTCTTGGTACACCATGCATGAATCAGCAAATGGAACACAACATTATAGAAATAGAAGGGTCACAGTGAAGGAGACCATTCAGCCCCTTAATTGTGCATCAAAAGCCTTTCAGTTAGTCCTACTGCTCATTCTTTCCTTGCATCACTGCACAATTTTCTTAAACCTTCAGATGTTTATCTGATTCTGTTATGAAAACCCCGATTGCATCTGCCTCCAACACTCTCTTAGGAAGTGTATCCCAGATCCTACATAGTCACTGGCAAGAAAAATGTCTTCTTGTGTCACCTTTGGAGCTTTTGCCAATCATCTTACATTTCTGTCCTTTGGTTCTCAACCCCTCTATCCCATGGTTCTATCCCATCTCCTTTATTAAGTCATCTCAAAATTCTCCAAGAAAAACAACACAGCTTTACCAATCCATTCTCATAGCCAAGTCCCTCATCCTGACACTATTCTCATAAACCTTTTATGAACCATCGCTTAAGCCTTCACGTCCTATCTAAAGTGCATTCAAGTGGGTGTATGTAAAGGAACATGTAGTCAGAGGAATGGAATCTGTTGTTTGCAGCCATGAATGCTTGCTCCAAGGGTTGAGCATCCGGTGATGGTAAAGAACTTGGAGTGGGAGGGAAGCTTTCATGATTTACGTAGGAATGAGTAATAAAGATTGAATAAGGCATGACATTTGGCTGAATGAGGCAGCAGAGCTAGGGTTAATAGGCCAAAATCATAATCTCTGAATTATGAGAAATGAACTAATTAGCATAAATTTAACAATGTTCAATGAGTTGAATGCATGGCTCAAAGATCAGTATTGGAGATAAGGGCTTTGATCATGAACTACTGGGATGATTACTGGTGGAAGAAAGGTCTAAATGTTCGGATGAGCTCCATTTAAACTAGGTCAGGACGAGTCTCCCAACAAACTTCACATCTACAGCTTTAGCAGGGCTTTAAACTAAAGCATTGAAAGATGGTGGGGAGTGGAAGGGGTATTGGGCTTCAAGTGAGGAGGGATTTATTAATCAAAAAAGAAATATCAAGTTCTCAGCGTGGTGATTTGGGTAAAAGTTAGTAGTGTGAGACAGGAAGGGACAAATCTTGAATGGTACTATTAAAGTAGTAGCCTTGAAGTCACTTTGGTGTGGTAATATGACTAACAAAAAAGTACTGAGGAAATTAGCTGGACTGAAAAACAATAAGCCCCCTTGACCTGGTGGTCTACATCTTGGGTTCTACAAGAGGTGGCTATAGAGATAGTGGATGCATTGGTTGTGAGCCTACAAAAAAATTATCTAGATTTTGGAATGAGTTCTATGGATCAAAAAATAGCAAGGAGAACAGCAGGAAGAAAAGGGAGGGAAGAAAAAGGCAGGGTTGGGGAAAAGAAGAAAAAGGAAATGGTACAGAAGGAATCAAGCAAAGAAGTCAGGAAGGAGAAGTGAAATTGGGAAAGGGAGATGGTATCTACAAAAAGAATTATAGAAAGGGCTATTTTCCACTCCTGCTCTGTAGCACCTCCAACCTGTCATGCTAGAAAAATGTGAACATCCTCTCAAGCTTACTGGAAGCAAGACTCCCTTGAGCCTGTTCCACCATTTAATATGAACATGGTTGATCCTTAACCTCAACTCCACATTCCGGCTTGATCCTTATATCTTCTTCAATTTCAAAAA